AGCCCTTATACCTCCCCCGGGAGGCCATCACCCGTGCAGCAGCTGGGTGGGGACAGAGGCAGTGCCCGGCCACCCATGCTCGTTAAGAATGTGGAGCAGAGGGAAAGGGAAGGGAGGGAAGGAGTGAGGCCATCAGAGCTCACCGCCCTCACCCTCCATGCACAAAGCCTTTCCTAATAGCATAAATGGTGATTCCCACTCTTCACCAGAGACTTATCAACTGCCCACTCTTGTTTTCTGGCTGCTTCCTGCACATGTAATCTATCTTCTCCTTGTGTCTCAAAGTCCCCAGAGGGCAGGAGCTGTGAATCCACCCCACCAGGCTGGACGGGCACTTGGCAAATACTTATTTGACTTTATAATGGCCGCCATTTAATGAGTTCACTGGGCCTCTCCCAGCTGGTGAGCATGTACATCATCTTATTTAATTCTCTTCAAAACCTAACAGGTGGGCAAATAGCTGTTTTAGAGAAGGGCAAACTGACCTTCCCCAGGCAAACAGCCTTCCAGGGACATGGCAGGACAAGAACCCAGAAGACACAATTAGACGAAAAAAGAAAAGCCCTCGTGGCAAAACCTTCCTCAAAACCAGGAGACAGGACGCCTGCTCAGACCCTTCCACACACGCTGTGGACAGCAAGTGCGGGCAGCTGCCTCCGGCCTGCCGCACTCGCAGGTGGGCCTAGGGGCACAGCCTGCTCCACGCAGAGGCCAGAAAGGGAGCCATTGCTTAGGCATGCCTGATCTTTACATTCCAGTATATAAAACAGGTATCACAGTGAAAGAGGAAGGATTCACATTACAAAGTTCTGTTAAATAACTAATGTTCCCACTCCTTTTTATTTTAGTTTTTAAGATTTTTATTGATTTTTTAGAGAGAGAGGAAAGCAGAAGGGAACAGAGAGAGAGAAACATACATCAATTAGCTGCCTCCTGCACGCCCCTGACCGGGGATCAAGCCAACCACCCAGGTATGTGCTCTCAATGGGAATCGAACCAGCAACCCTTTGGTGCATGGGATGAAACCCAACCAACTGAGCTACACTGGCCAGGGTACTTCTTCTCCATTTACTGTCCAACTTTATCAGAAAACAAATATCATGATTTCTCTGGTCTAAATTTACTACATAAATTATGTACCTGTAACTCTATGTGTACAGTAATTATCTATTATTTTTACATGGAAAAAAAATTTAATCCCAGGACCTCCAGTTTAGAAGTAAAAGATTTTTTTTTTATTGATTTTTTTTTTTTTTTTTTTTTTTTTTACAGAGAGGGAGAGAGATAGAGAGCTAGAAATATCGATGAGAGAGAAACATCGACCAGCTGCCTCTTGCACAACCCCCCACCGGGGATGTGCCCGCAACCAATGTACATGCCCCTGACCGGAATCAAACCTGGGGCCTTTCAGTCCGCAGACCGACGCTCTACCACTGAGCCAAACCGGTTTCGGCTATAAGTAAAAGATTTTAAATCTCATATTTAAACACCAATAGGATGAAAACTGCATTCTGTAAGGACGTAATATTTATATTAACAGCCAAAGTAGCAGAGAAACAAATGTTCAATAGAACCATTCAACTGTAAACATCACCTCCTCCCTGGAAATCATGCACTCATTACATCCAAAAAGGCCCTCTGTCCCTGTTAGAAAAGCATTCTGGCATTGGGTCATTCTGCCGAAGGCACAAGCCAAACCCAGCAAGGTCAAACTCAACATAAGTCTGTCAGTCCTGCATACATCAGCCAACAGCAAACAGGGGAAAAGGACACAAGCTGTATTTTTCAATCACCCCAAGTGCACTGAGCAAATGTTCCAGAAACATCTATACCATAACATCGTTAGCATGTAACTCCCCCAGGAAACTCCCATCCACCCCAGCAAGGGACCCTGGGGACCTCGTCCACCCCTTGCTGGTCAGACCACCTGCATGGCCACCAGCTGGCCCTCCTGCCATTGAACCCTCTGCACACTCCATCTTCTAGTCCTTGGCACCGTTGGCACCACCAGCCACAAATAAAATAGGTTTGCACCGGGGAATGCAGAGTGTGGCACACTGTGTGGCCAGGAGGGGAGAGATGTGTGCCAATCCCAACTGCTCAAGCGGACTCGCCACCCCGTGCCTGGAGTGCAGGGACTCGCCTGGGCACAGAGGACAGAGACCCTGCACATTGCTCCCCGGGCCATGCCACAGACAGTGCACACTCCCGGCATGCACCCCTGAGCACCCACGCCTGCTGAACAAATGGATGCATGTAGATGCATGTGAATAGGACAAGCTAATTGAGACTAGCCCCCAAAATGGGGGTGTTACATCTTGCTCCCTCTGACCAGTCCCAACCTTTCAACTGAAAAGGCAGCTTTTGAAAAAACACAAACCTGACTTATCTTTAGATAATGGCAACCAACTAAAGTGATTTTTCCTTTCTCTTGAGCTTCAGAAGCAGCCAGCTTAGGAGGCCAGACACTGTTAATGGCTGCATGTGACTCTGAAATGGCTCAGGCTTTAGCCAGAAGAAGAAAACTCTGCCAAATTTGTAGAGGGAAGGAGTGAAGAGCAGGCGGCAGAGGGCACCAGCCATTAAATGTTGAGCATCAACAACCATCAAGTGAAAATTAGGGGAATGAATTTTATGTCGCCATCCTTGGGTACAGGACTAGGGAAAAGTTTAATCTCAAAAAGCAGACATTTAAAATGGAGAGAGGTGACTGAACAAGATGTCCCACAGCATTGTAAGCAGCTAGATGCTGAATCCACTCCCTCTCCTGGCCCTCATCCTTCTATGGTGAATCCCAGACACCCCTATGAGGAAGGGTTAGGATAACGGGAAAAGACCAGGTGCAGTCCTTGGCCATAAAATCCTGTACTTTAAAAATATATCATTAGACTGTTTCATGTCCTTAACTTACCTGAGTAGAATTTAATTTAAATTTAAAATAGCACAAAGGCCTACCCTCCTGATGAGATAATCTACTATAACATCATTGCATTTGCCCATAACAAAACTCTCACAAACAGCAAAACTGTTCACCTATGACTCAGGTGACATAAACCCAGATTTTTACAACAACAAAAAAACTGGGAAGGAAAATTTAAACAGCATACCATTTACTGCCAAATTTGCAAAGGTTTTTTTCATAATAATATTCAGCACTGCCAAGGGTGCAGCCACTCTCATATCTATAGTGTTCCATCCTTTCTGAAAAGCAACCTGGCAATACTCTTGGAGGAACCTCTCAAAGTTCATAGACCCACCAACTTCCCTCTTAGGGATCTATTCAAAGGGATCTATTACAAAAATTTCATGTAGTTTTAAATATTCTCCAATATATCTTACTCTATAGTTATATTGTTATTTTACAAAACCTGCTTTGGGACATTGAAGCTGTTACCAGTTTTCTCTATTAAAAATAACACTACAATGAACTAAAAAAAAAAAACCTCACAAGAGGATATACTTATTGATTTGGGGTGGGGAGAAGTAGAGAGAGAGAGAGAAAAAAAAAACATCGATGTGAGAGAGCACTGAAACGCTGTCCTGTCAGACCCCAAAAAACCTGCATCTCTTGGGAACTCACTTTAGGTTCTGTAATCTCAAACACTTAGGTTTGTCCAAGATGGAAAATATTTCACAAGAGGTGAAATGTGTGCAACAACTATTTAATATTTTTATATTACTCATCAGATGTTATATGTGGTTAATTAATGAATCTTAAAGACTATTATTTTTCTTTTTTCTACCCCACATGTGAGGAGCAAAGGGAAACAAAAATGTTCCAAGTACTGAGTGAATGGACAACTGGGGAGGGCCTCACCCCGTCCACCCTCACCCCCAGACCCACAAGCCTCAGTTGGCCAACCAGAAAACAGGTCCTGAGTCTCTGACAACCACAGGAGACTTAACAGAAGTCGTTTGCAAGAAACTGCAGAATACCACCATCTTCCAAGGAACTGGAGGCCGATGTGGCCAAACAAAGCCACCATCAGCTCAATCACCAAAACTGAGGTTCTTGCCATAGGCAAAATAGGTTACAGAGAGCAAGTTAGAAATAAGAATGGGGAAGGAAAGTAAGGGGAGTATAAGCCAGAGCCATAGTCAAGGTGGCAAGAAGGAAGGAGCTTGTTGGCTGGGTAGAGTCACTGGAACTGTGTGGGGACAAGGAGGGAAGTGCACTGTCCCCCTCCACCCAGCTGGCAAGGGGTCCCTGAGGGAGACCCAGACGACAGGGAGACACCGCTTGGGCTGCAGCAGACTCCACCCTTTATGTACAAGAGCTGGGACTCGGGGCAATTTCAGGGCTGCCAGTGGCCTTCCGGCAAACAGGGGATGGAAGCAGTGCCTAAGTCACAGGCTGCTGTGAGGATTAGATCCGTTAATGTGCATGCAGCCCTAAGAACAGCCTGGCACACAGTGGTATGCAAGTGTTTGGAATCACTGCTAGTATTCTCTGACCAAGTGTCCTGGTGGAAGAAGCGGGGAAGGGAGGGAGGGTTCAGAGGTCCAGGAGCCCTTCTGAAAACAGCCTGGATTCAAGCTATGGGCTCTCTGCTCTTGGCTTCCTGAAGCAGAGAGATTTTATTTTTATTTTTTTTTAATATATTTTATTGATTTTTTACAGAGAGGAAGAGAGAGGGATACAGAGTTAGAAACATCGATGAGAGAGACTCATCGATCAGCTGCCTCCTGCACACCCCTACCGGGGATGTGCCCGCAACCCATGTACATGCCCTTGACCGGAATCGAACCCGGGACCTTTCAGTCCCCAAGCAGACGCTCTATCCATTGAGCCAAACCGGTCTCGGCCAGAGAGATTTTATTATGAAAATTCCCTCCCCAACTCTTGAGAGCCAATGGAAATAATCCCTGGCCGCACCTCCACCACCAGTGGCCAGGAGCCCAGCCCATCTCGGGAGGATGATGGCCCTGCCAGGGAACCCGGGCCCGGGAGGAGGCCTGCCGTTCTGCAAACCCCAGAGGCAAGGAATGCACCCACTTACCCAGGAGGCCGTGGCCGCACCGCACAGGGGAGGGCGGCTGGCCAGGGGCGGGGGGACGGGATGGAGCCTTTTTGCAAACTGGATAGCACAACCGCACTTGGGAAAGAAATTCTAGATCCACTTAGGGATCGTGTGGATGAGGGCACACAGATGTTGCCCAATTCCTGCTGTAACGTCACTCGAGCAGCCCAGGTCCCGCATCCAGTCTGCGAAGAGAAGAGCGAGTCATTTGGCAGGGGCCCAGTTTAGGAGGTGGCTTTGTAATATGAGCAGTGTGTCCACCGACAACTAGAGCAAGACCATTAAGTTCATTACACCTGTCACTCTGCCAGCTGACTATCCAAATTGCCAGAGATGAAAGTACATTATATGCCCAGGAGTGCCACCCAGCCCCCGCCCAGGGCAGCACCACACTTATCTCAGACAATTTGTTCTCAGTGTCTGCACCTGCAGAAGGAACGCAACTGTAAACAGCTTGAAACTTGGCCCTGAGGAACCACAGGGCCAGAGCAGGTCCATCGAAGAGCAAAGTTTAGTTTCTTGTGCTCTGATGGAGGAGGAAGAAGGTAGGGGAGAGGGGCAGGATCCGGGGGCAGAGCCACGGGCAAAGCTGAGGACACAGAGAGCTGCTCCGTGGATCCTGCTGCCCTGAAGCGCTGCCAAAAATACAGCGGGAGACACACCCTTTTCACTTCCCAACCGAGGCCCAGAGTGGCGAGCGGCAGGCAGAGGCCTTCCTTTCCCGCGGCTGCACAGCCAGCAGGCTCCCTGGGTGTGCGCTGCCCGGCCGCCGCCGGCTGCAGAGTGCGTGTGCAGTGCAAGCAGCGTGTTGCAGACAGCGGTAATTTATTTATCCCTGTCATGTAACATTAGCAATCTGTCTGGAGCTTGGCAAGCAGCGACTTGCACTGTCATATAAACTGTCTGACAAACCTAAAGTTTCAGAAATGCTTCTCTTTTCCAGCACACAATAAAACATCGTTTTTAAAAAGTTACCTCCTTTTCTTTCTTCCTCTTCCAAAAAAAGAAGGAAAAGAAAGAAAGAAAAACAACAAAAGAGACCCATGCAAACAGAAATGATCCCTCAGCAGGATTCTTAACCTTAAAAGTCTCAACATTTTTCCAATGCTGGATAAATGAGTAAATAAATGGATGGGGAGAGGGGTGCGGTGGGGGTCAGTCATGGGGGGGGTGGGGGCAGAAAGAGGGTGCAGAACAAAATCTGCAAAACAAAAGTACAGTCATTAAAAATTAATAAAGGGTGTGGACATGAGCTCCCACCCCCGTCCGCTCGTGGGGATTCGAGCCAGACATTCTGCATCCTCATTAAGTGGTGTCTGGCAGGCTGCCGGAGTTTTAGTGGGTTCTGGGAATGCCAATATATTAACCAGAGGACTTTTTGCATACCCTTTAGAGTTTTTATTCTAGAAAAGTCAACCATTTGGCACTGTGCAGCCTTATTTTTGTCCGGGAAAGCTCTCAGCTGCCAATCAAGGGAGAAATTATAGCTGTGTTCTCCGTAATTTCCAAGACCTATCTGGAAAACAAGCTTGGCGGAAAGAAAAGTCCTCACGAAAACAGCTGAAAAGGCCAAAGTGCCATTTTTAGTGGGAATTCAAAGAAAAGCCATCCATACTAAAGTCGCATGGCTAGGAGACAACACAGATATTATTTTCAAGTCCTCCTAGGATAGAGGAAAAGACAATATTCATTGGAAACATAAATCCATTTAATAGTATAGGTGCGTGGCTGTTTCCCATAGGTGCTTAACAGTGAAGCAAGTAATGCCAGACACACACACACACACACACACAAAAAAAAAAAAAAAATTCTCCCTAAAAAATGGCAGGTCTTGTGGCCTAAATTTTCAAATAGTAGGCAGAAGCTTTACATTCCTATTTTAAAACCTAAGGTTCACCTTCCATGAACACCCATAATATAGGTCAAGGTGTAATTGTAGACTAACAAATCCCATGTAGGCAGAAAGTCACTTTGACATCACATAATAATGGCTTCCAGGCGAGTTTTCAGAGACCTAAAAAGAGGAAGGAAGGAATGGAAGGCAGAAGGGAGGAGGAGGGCAAAGGGAGGAAAGAGCAATTTGGGACTACTTAGCTATTTTGCTACTGTTCACGTATAACAGCCATGTGCCTCTATAAAGTGTGTTAAGCATTTCTGAAAATTTTTCCAGGTTAACATGGAAAATAATCGTTTATAGCTACCGCTCCTTGGATTTTCCCTATTAACTCTCACCCAAAAGGATGGACACATCAGAGAGACTCCCTAAGCCGAGATTCAGAAGAAAGATGAGGAGAAACAGGATGAGGGCGACCAGAAAGACCTAACCAGTCACTGTCACCAAGGTCCCTGCCCTGCGTCCTCCAAGTGCTTGGGTTTTACATGGTGACACGGAGCAGCTCCCTCTGTCAACACAGGGTGACTGAACACTGGGCAGGGCCAAGGGAACCCAGACAGAGCTTAGTGGTCTCTCCTTGACAGAGGCCAGGAACTTCCTTCGGAGAGCAAAAATCCCTCTCACCTCCATGTTCCCCTGTCCAGCTGGGAAGTGCCCCTCTGGGGGCCCGGATAAAACACTGCATCCCTGAACTGCAAGGCTGCTCTGCAGAGCTGCTGCGTCCACCGAGACCACAGCACAGTCCCAAACTGTAAACACCTCTACAGATGGGCCCTCACTCTCATGAGCCAGGCAACTACACTATTCTTAGGACACTGTCAGCAGTCGGGAAAATAAATATTTGTCTACGTATGTATATACTCGGAGGTGGCGGGGGTGGGGAGGATTGTGAAGGTGGACTTTGAATCCAACAAATTGGCACAAAATCCCCAAATAAGCAGCTGGCACTGGCTGGGTTCCCCTGCAGGATGGTGGCCGTGCAAACCAAGGCCCTAGAAGGATTCAGGAGACAGACCCCAAAGCCTCCTGGGAATGGTCCTCCTCATCATAAACACAAACCTACACAAGCTAGAACCATGGCCAATGAGGGCAAATTCTTCCAAGGGCAACAGCAGAACATTAGGAAAATAGAGGGATAGTTTATAATAAATCAAGAGAGGAATGCGGCTACAACTCCATTACAACGAATAATTTCTTTTTTTGCTTTTGTTTTGTTAATATATTTTATTGATTTTTTTTTTTTTTTTTTTTTTTTTTTTTTTTTTTTTACAGACAGGAAGGAAGAGGGATAGAGAGCTAGAAACATCCATGAGAGAGAAACGTCGACCAGCTGCCTCTTACACACCCCCTACTGGGGATGTGCCCTCAACCAATGTACATGCCCTTGACCGGAATCGAACCCGGGACCCTTCAGTCCCCAAGCCGACGCTCTATCCACTGAGCCAAACCGGTTCCGACAACAAATAATTTCTTACTAGCATTTACAGATTGGCATCTAATTCCTAACAGTGTGTTCAAATGTCAATAGTAACAGGAAGCTCTCAAAAGAATTAAGCTTCCAAAGATCATGAAGAATTCCTCTCGTTTTTAAAAAGTGCTGCTTTGCATTCATGGGTTGATAGGAAACCAAATATCATAACCCACAAATGTGCATGGGTAATATTCTGATCTACTCATTTGTCTATGTAATGACTCAAATTTGACATTATGATCCTTTACTAAACATAAAGAATGTGTTCCGAGAGAATTCTGCAGAATATAAAGGCAGATGTACTGATGACAGTAAACTCAATACAAATAGCAGAAAAGACTAAATACGCATATGCAAAATGCAAAACATGGCTTGTGCAATGACAGCTTCTCGGTGCAGACTCTACAGAATCTTTCCTGTAATTCAATACTCAGTCCTGAAGCTCCAGAGGAAATACAAAGGGGAGAACACCGTCCTTAGCTAGCCAGGCAAGAGGAAAGGGCCATTTTTTTAAGAGACGTTTCCCAGCCGTGGTCCTGAGGGCAGGCACCAACCTCCATGCCAGCCACAGAACCCATATATTTTTAAGAGCCAAAGCTGTTCACCATCTCTACCCACCTCCACTGCAAGAAACTCATGAACCGCCCTCTCTGAATCAACAACTCTGTACCACTTACCTCACCTCGCGTCCCACCATGCCCAGCACACAGTAGGTCATCAACCAATATCACAATCACACTTAACATTTAGAAAGGAGCACTGAACTATACGTGAAGGGGGGGCAGGGACAAGAAGTTGCCAAAAATATAAGGGAGAAGGAGAAGGGACTAGATGGGACACAAAGGAAGAGAAAAGAAGCAAATCAAACATCCAATTCTAGCTCATTAAAAGACTAAAAAAAAAAAAAAAATGAAGCTGATTTCTGTGGCCATTGCCACTCAGCAATCATGCCTGTGCCCGGGTAGGAGGAGCGAGGGAGCCCTACTTGCTACCAGCATAGAGTTCCTTGCAGTCTAGACAAGCAGCGCGGTGCCCTGCCAGCACACCCTGGAAACGGGCACTGACCCATGCGCCTTCTCCAGGTGCCACCCACCCACAACGCGCCCATGCCGCCCTCCAGAAAAATCTCTGCCACACTGGGAAGCCTCCTCCTTATCCAATTAAAAAAAAAAAGTTTAAAAACAAGCAGATGTCTTCTCTGCCACCACAGCGGATGAACCCGAACAGAGCCAGCCCACTGTCCTCCGGCAAGCAGTACTCACAGGGCGCGCCCCCAGCCCCACCCCGGGCGGCCCGCCGGACGGGGTCCCGGAGCCTCCTCCCCGCCGCGCAGGCGGACCCCGCCACAAAGGCCAGTGCCGCCCGGGCTGGGTGCTGGCCGCTTCCTGTTCATGCCACCGAGAGGGTCAGAGAGAAACCCAACACACGCCCGCCGCTTCCTCCGGAGCCCGGAGCCCCAGCCTGAGTGCAGCCGCCGCCGAGACAATCGGCTCCAGCAACGCCGGGGGCTCCGGGCGCCCCGGGCCGACGTCCACGCGCGGGGGCCCCGGGCCGGCGCCGGGGAGGCAGGTCCTGGGCTGGCCGGGCGCCGGGCGCGGGGGGCCGGGGGCCGCCGGGGCGTGAGGCTGCGGGGCGCCGGGCTGCAGGTCGAAGGGTCCGTAGTCAGGCCGGCCCCCGCCCCCCATTCTTTCCGCAAACTCCCCTGCAAGGTCCTGCACAACCTTCCCGCTTCCCCCTGACCTCCAGTCCCCCCGACCCAGAGGCCCGAGGGGGCGCAAACCTCCGGGGGAGCGGCCCCCCTCCCGCTGGCGCCGGCCTCCCTCCCTGCTGCGCGGAACCAAGTCCCGCACCCGCAGGATAGAAAACGGGGTGTTTTTTTGTTTTTGTTTTGGGTGTTTTTTGGGGGGAGGGGAGGGGGGTCAGCGGTGTACCTTCAGCCAAGCACCCCCGACCCCCAGCCACCCCCGGACGAGCGATCGAGCGCCCAGGATGGCCTCCGTGCCCACCGGAGACTCCGGGCACCCGCGCCCCAGGCGCCCGCCCGGGTGGGGAGGGTGCCCCGTGCCCGGCCGCTCCCCCGGCCCCCGCCGACGGCGCAGGCTCGCGGGTGTCCGGTTCCCGGAGCGTCCTGTCCCCGGATCCCCACCGCCCCGCGCACCCCCCGCGCCCCCAAATCCCGGTCCGCAGCGCAGCGCTGAACTTGAGCCAGACGCCGCGGTCCCCGCCGCCACCCGGGTCCGCACTCACCTGCGGCCGCCCCTCCGGAGCGGGGCCGGGCCGCCCGCAGTGCGGCTCTCGGGGCCGCCGGGCCTGCCTGCCGGCCGCGGGGAGGGGCGCGGGGCCGCGGCGGCGGGGGGCGCGGCTCGCGGGGCTCTAAGAGCCGCAGACCTCACCCCCCGGCCCCCCGCGCGCTCCCCGCCCCCCTTTCCCTCTCCCGGGGACTCGCAGTCTGTCTGGCGGCGGCGGCTCCTCCCCGGCTCGCAGGGGATCCCCGGCCGCCGGCCGCCGTGTCGCTCGCTCGCTCGCTCGGGGCGGGCAGGGCCAGTCGCGCTCGCCCGCTCGTCCCCGGCCCGGTCCGCCGCCTCGGGGCTGGGGGTGCAGCGCCGCGGCCGCCAGGGAGGTGTCCCGCCTCCCCGCGCAGGAGGGGGCCGTCTCCCGCCGCCGCCGCCGTCTGTCTGCGGCCGTCACCGTGCCCGCCGCCGAGGCGGTGTCTGCCTCCAACTCCGCGCTCTCCGCCCTCCCCATCCCCCTCCGCCGCGGGGACGGCTCGCGGCCAGGCCGCCGGGGGCCGCCGTGCGGCAGGTGGGCCGCCCGGACCCCGCGCGCACGGGCCGCTCCGACCTCTGCAGCTGCGGCGCGCGGGCCGGGGGCGGGCGGGCGCCCGGGACGCGGGACCCCGGGGCTCCCGGGGCCACCGGCGGCGCACGCGGCGGCAGCGGGCTCGGGCCTCGCGGGGCGCGCGCCCACCGCCGGCCACACGGGGAACTCCAGGCGCCCGGCGATCGCAGGCTGTGGGGCCGGGAGCAGCCGGCTCGCCAGGCGGGCTGCAGACGGTCTCCAGAGGGCAGGCCTGCATGGCCCGGGCTGCGGACTGCTTGGTGGGCAGCGCGCCTTCAGACACCGGCCCGGAGGCACACAGTAGGGCTGCAGGCCGCTCAGAGTGGGGTGGGTGAAGCATCCGGGAGCCAGCCCCGGGGACTCCTCCTGACCTCACAGAATGATCCCTTTAGGATCCCCCTCCCGCTATAAGGGAAATGACTCCCAATTGAAAGTTCTTCCCACTAGGACTTCCAGAAGGAAGGACCTACATCTCTCCTGGGAAGGCTGTTTAGGGCTGAAACTCTACTTGGGTGCAGGCAGCATGCATTTGTGTCCTCTAGAAGCCCTAGCACTGACATCAGCCAACCTAACGCTGAGGTCAGTCATTCTGACAACAACGTGTCATAGAGGTTTGGTCACTGTCATAGCATACGGGCATTTTAACCCAATTTCATTGCATTCACCAAAATTAGACAATAGCTCTTTGTCTGCCAAAGTATCTTAACTAGGGGTTTCAGGCAGGGTCTAGCAGGGGTGAACTAATAAAGAGATAACCATTTTCAACCTGTGCCCCCCCCAAAAGTCGACGAGTTCATACTTCCAAAATATCAGGGGGGGAAATCTTTTGACACCTGTGAGTAATTTGCAAGTAACATTTTAGTTGGTGAAATATGGGTTTAATTCAACTTCCTTTAAAGAGTGCTCAGCCTCCAAAACCGGTTTGGCTCAGTGGATAGAGCATCGGTCTGCGGACTGAAGGGTCCCAGGTTTGATTCCGGTCAGGGGCATGTACATTGGTTGCGGACACATCTCTGGTAGGGGTTATGCAGGAGGCAGCTGGTCAAGATGTTTCTAGCTCTCTATCCCTCTCCCTTCCTCTTTGTGGAAAATCAATAAAATATTTTAAAAATAATAATAAAAATAGCCGAAACCAGTTTGGCTCAGTGGTAGAGTGTCGATCTGCAGACTGAAAGGTCCCGGGTTCGATTCCGATCAAGGGCATGTACCTTGGTTGCAGGCACATCCCCAGTAGGGGGTGTGCAAGAGGCAACTGGTCGATGTTTCTCTCTCATCGACGTTTCTATTGTAGCTCTCTATCTCTCTCCTTTTCTCTCTGTAAAAAAATCGATAAAATATATTTTAAATAAATAAATAAAAATAAAGAGTGCTCAGCTCTTCTCAACTCCCATAGTCATTGTACTGTAGAAGGTGGTCAATGCTCATATGCATTGTAATGTAACTTCCACTCATCGAGAGGAATGTGCCAAGCCCTGTACCAAATACCCAGATAGTTTTTATTTAATCCTCACAATAACGGTGGCAGCTATAAGCTTCCCATTTTCCAGATGAGAAAGTTGAGACGATAAAGCGTTTAGAAACTTGTTCTCAGATCCCAGAGAGATGAGTGTCAGATCCCTCACTGGCTGCATATAAAGATGTCATACTGCCATCTACCTACCGCTTTGACATCCAGTTCAGTCCCGTTCAGCCCAGCAAAAATTTACAGCATCTGCTCTCTGCCAGACTCTGCCAGCACAGTAGAGAATGCCCAGGTTCTGTGCCCATGGTCGGCAAACTCATTAGTCAGCAGAGCCAAATATCAACAGGAAACGATTGAAATTTCTTTGGAGAGCCAAATTTTTTTTAACTTAAACTTCTTCTAACGCCACTTCTTCAAAACAGGCTCACCCAGGCCGTGGTATTTTGTGGAAGAGCCACACTCAAGAGGCCAAAGAGCAGCATGGGGCTCTTGAGCCGCAGTTTGCCGACCACAATCCTACGCTAATCGAGGAGCATTTAGACTAATGTAATCTGATACTAGGCAGACGTTTTTAGATGAGCAGTGAGTTGGTAACTGCTTAACACAGGCGATCTGAATCTGAGAGACATGTACTTGGTTTACATTGAATGTACACGGATGCATGCCACACTAACAGGAGCTCACATGCTGTGGGATTGGAGACACTGCGTTCTTGCCCTCTCGGGGTCAAAAGAGAAATGGCTTTTCTGTTCTAACCCAGAAAGTGCCTAGGGACAGTGAAGAATAAATTAATTTTTCCTAAAAAAAAATCACAAAACAATTTGTTCTTCTATTTCATGTATAATTTCCTTGTGTGTAATTTAACCCTTTTAAATTGAAAGCTGAATTTTAAATTTTACCATTTATGATCAATCTTAATTAATCTTGCATTTCCTTTTCTTGTTGAGTTCCCTAATTTATAACTAGAAACTGCACATCTCTATTTCTATTTCTAGAAAATGGCCATGGGAGAAACCTCTCCCTGCATTTCCACTCTGTCCTCCCTGTATTTGTTTTCCATTTCAGCTGTTGCCTCCCATACCCCTCCAAACTCCCTCTCTCTCTCTCTCTCTCTCCCCCCTTATATAGCAATGGGAGAGTTGGAGGCATTTAGTTATATGTTTGCTCTCTGTAAATTCAACATGATTATATGTCAGCTTTTACCCTCATCATTAGTAATCTATTGCATTCACTCTGAGGGCCTGGACTGAAGTCCAGACAAGCAGGACTTGTTTTGCTCAGAACAGAGGACAGTGTGTATCCCCAGCGCACAGAGCTGGGCCTGACACTCACTAAGGACTCAAGAGATGTTTGAGGGATTAATGGAGCCTGATATTGGGAGAGACAAGTAAAAAATATCACTAACTTGGGTGGAAATCAACGGAAATTGGTTTCAAGGAGTAGGGCCTGAGAAAAATTCTTTCTCCGTACGAACCCATAGCAGTTTACTTAGTGTGATTATATCCTGGCCATACTTAGTTCATTGAAGGTCAATCATCTAAAGGGACAAAAATAGAAAGGGCAAATGTGAGCAAATGTTGGGGTGGGGGTGGGGGTGGGGGCTCAATGACCACAGATGAGTGTACAATAGAGAATATAATTCTGTTATTTGTATCTCATGCATAATATTTAGATGGAACCTAAGCTATCCAAAATGATCCTTCCCCTCTCTGCACCTTTTAATTTAAATGAGAAATGGAGAGGAGGAAATGAGAAAGAGAAGCTCACACTGAGCGGCTGTGCTGGGGAATGAGAGTCTGGTGTGGATGAGCACATACGACCAGAACCTACGGGTTCGCTCAGCTCCAGGAGAGAAGGGCCTGTCCCACATGCCTGAAGATGCCATGGGCACGTTTCATCACCGTACTCTGCACCCTCAGACTGTCTCAGCGTTCAGTCTGTAAACCGGAGATAACTCCTACATCACAGAATCTGTTGTGAGGTTGGCCATGTTCCCATGTACCTTCTTTGGGATCCACAAAATCATCCTCCTCCTCCTATGGATTTCGGTTTAAAATCACAAGAAACAGAAAGGAAAATGTTTTCATCAGGCAACTTCTGCTTTCCCAGCCTTGCTGCAATCTCTCCTTGGACAAAGCAAAACAAAAACCCACAGTATCTGCTTTCTCCTTGTAGGAAAAAATGCAGCAAGAAATAATGCCAAGGATTACCTCAAAGCGCGTCAGTCCAGACGCATGTATGGATTGTATCCATACCATACGTTGTATCTATATAAAAATGATGGAACAATTCCTGAGCAATGACACATTATTTTCAAGTCATTTATAAACATTATAATAGCGTCTCCACAGTCTTTTAAGGTCACAGCAGTTCTATCTCTCTCTCTTCCTGCCATGCTCCTGCTCGGCTGCCTCAATTGGGTCTGTTTCTCGATTGGGGCCTCTCCAGAAGGAAGTCATGGCCCCCAGTTTCTCTAGCCTCTGACTGGGTCAACCACGTGTTCACCCAAGATCCAATCATTGAAGCAGGAAGATGGGGTGCTTAGTCCTGTGCCCACCCTCCAGTAATGGGCTGCCCAGAAGAAAGAGTATTTCCACACCCCATGAAAGCAGAGGAACACTGGTTAGGCAGGAACAATAAATGTTCCCTCTAGTTGTGTCAGCCACTTCATCTTGGCCACCTCATGTGCCCATCCTGGGTATGGAATCAACACCAAGCCCAGTGCCTGCAACATAGATGATACTGCATGTTGCTTTGTTACCTCTGTTGTTTCACTTACCATCATGGTAGAAACATTGTTCAAGTCATCAAGAATTCTTTATGACTTATTTTAAAACACTGGATTCTATTTCAGGAATGTTACCATCATTTGTTTAAATGTTTCACTATTTGTTAGACATCATGCTATGTCCTTTTGTGTATGTGTGTACAAGTAATATACACCAATATGAAAATTTATTACATCTTTTCCAGAATTTCTGCTTATTACTTTAGAAGAGATTCCTAAAAGTTGAATAAATGTGTCAAAGAATATCTCAGAGTTCTTGAACATATTACCAAATTGTTTTTCCAGAAAGATTATACCAATCTACATTCTTGTGGATATAGTGGTAAGTGGTAACTTAAACCTGAAAACAAAACCACAACATATAATATTGTAGCTACCGTGTTTCCCCGAAAATAAGACATCCTTTGAAAATAAGACCTAGCGCATGGAAAGATAAGACATCCCCTGAAAATAAGACCTACTGCAACTTTGGGGGGGGGGGGGAATTAATATAAGACACTGTCTAATTTTCGGGGAAACAGGGTAGCTCAGAGACTGAACCTCTCAGTACAATATATGCCTGCAAATACAGGCTAGATGTTTGCAGATTTAAATTCAGAGACTGTGAGCAAGGAATTCTCATACCAAACTACCCAGGATGGAATGGTATATTCGTTTTTGCATTGGCCATCCTGCCATCTCAATCCATCTTACTCTTCCTACATGCCTCAGCCATTTTTCCCCATCCTTTCCCTT